TGAAAAATTGCAAAAATGAGAACTTGGAACATACCCAAAAATTGTAAAATTAAAAATGCAAATCGAAAAAATTAATGAAGGAAAAATTGAAAAATCTAAAAATTTCAAAATTGTAAATTTGGAAATTTTAAAATTTGTAAAACTGAAAATCTGGAAACTAAAACTTTGTAAAAACTATAAAACTAAAAAATGGAAAGTTGAAAAATCAGAAAAAGTGAATATGTAATTAAAAAATTGAAATATCCAAAAATTAAAAAAAATTAAATTTGAAAAACTGCAAATGTGTACAATTGAAAAATTATTAAATGAAAATATATAGACATCGAAAAACTGAAAAATCGAAAAAATAAAAACTGAAAAATCAAGAAAATCTAAAAATTGCAAAATTGTAAAATTGAAAAAAACGAAAAATTGAAATTTGAAAAATTATAAAATGAAAATTGCATATAAGAAACGGGGCCTGGAGTGGCTTCTGGGGCTCAAAATCTACAGGAAAGTGGATTTAGTTAAATTTCGAAAATGGTCAAAAATGGGTCGAAATTTGCATAAGGGGTGGTATTCGAAAATTTCAATTTTGAAAAAGTCGTCCAAAAATTTTCAAAAAATTCAGTATTACAGAATTTGACATGCTGATTCCAAAAATGTAGCGTGTTTAAAGTCAAAGACAAATATTTTCGAAATATTCAGAGTAAAATTCGATTTTTTTGAAATTTTAAAAAATTGCGATATTTCAGTGGGCGAATCTGGAAAAACGGTTGGAGTTATCGAAGAAATAAGGCCTGAAGTGGCTTCTGGGGCTCGAAATCTACGAGAAAATGTATTTAGTTAAATTTCGAAAATGGTCAAAAATGGGTCGAAATTTGCATTGGAAAATTTCAATTTTGAAAAAGTCGTCTAAAAATTCTCAAAAAATTCAGGATTACAGAACTTGACATGCGGATTCCAAAAATATAGCGTGTTTAGGGTCACGGACTAATACTTTCGAAATATTCAGAGTAAAGTTCGATTTTTCTGAAATTTTTAAAAATTGCGTTATTTCAATGGGCGATACTGGAAAAACGGTGGGGGTTATCGAAGAAACGAGGCCTGAAGTGGCTTCTGGGGCTCGAAATCTACAAGAAAATGTATTTAGTTAAATTTCGAAAATGGTCGAAATTTGCATAAGGGTGGTATTGGAAAATTTCAATTTTGAAAAAGTCGTCTAAAAATTCTCAAAAAATTCGGGATTATAGCTCTTGACGTGCTGATTCCAAAAATGTATCGTGTTTAGGGTCACGGACCAATATTTGCGAAATATTCAGAGTAAAGTTCTATTTTTTTGAAATTTTTAAAAATTGCGATATTTTAGTGGACGATTCCGGAAAAATGGTTGGAGTTATCGAAGAAACGAGGCCTGAAGTGGCTTCTGGGGTTCGAAATCTACAAGAAAATGTATTTAGTTAAATTTCGAAAATGGTCAAAAATGGGTCGAAATTTGCATAAGGGGGTGGTATTGGAAAATTTCAATTTTGAAAAAGTCGTCCAAAAATTCTCAAAAAATTCAGGATTATAGATCTTGACATGCTGATTCCAAAAATATAGCGTGTAAATATAGCGTGTTTAGGGTCACGGACTAATATTTTCAAAACATTCAGAGTAAAGTTCGATTTACACTTTACAATTTTTCGTTTTTTTATTTTCTTGATTTTTCAATTACCCGTTTTTTTCAGTTCCGACTCTATTTTTTGAATTTTTTGATTTTCCAAATTTTGAATTTTCAGTTTTAAATTTTCACTTTTCCGATTTTTAATTTTACCTTTTTTCAATTTTTCGATTTTCCAAATTTTCAGTTTGAGTAAATTGGTTCTTTTTGTTGAAAAATTAAAAATCTAGAACTTGAATAAAAAAAAATCGGGAAATGACAAAATCATAAATTTAAAAACAAAGAAAAAAATAGTGAAATTGTAAAATTCCAAAATTCACAAATCGGTGCCATTTAAAAAAAATTCTCACACCACATAACTATAAAAACAAAAAATTGAAAATAGAAACAATGAAAAATTGAAAAATACAAATGGAAAAACTGAAAAATCGAAAAATTGCAAAATTGTAAATTTGGAAAATCTAAAAGTGATCAAAATTAAAATTGAAAGTTTGAATATAAAAACAAAAAAATAAAAATCGCGAAACTAAAAAGTCTAAAATCGCAAAAATGAGAACTTGGAACATATACAAAAATTGTAAAATTAAAAATGTAAAGCGAAAAAATTAAAACTTGTTAAACAGACAAATTACAAATCAAAAATTTGTAAAAACTATAAAACCAAAAAATATATAATTGAAAAATTAAAAAAACCAAAAATTAAGAAAAATTAAATTTGAAAAACTGCAAATATGTAAAATTGAAAAATTATTAAATGAAAAAAATATAAACATATAAATTTAAAAACAAAAATAAACGTCGAAAAACTGAAAAATCGAAAAAATAAAACTTCAAAAATTAAAAACTGGAAAATCAAGAAAATCAAAAAATTGCAAAATTGTAAATTTGGAAATATTAAAGTTTGTAAAACAAACTAAAAATTTGTAAAAACAATAAAACTAAAAAATGGAAAGTTGAAAAATCGGTAAAATTATTTTCAAAATTTTCAGTTTGAGTAAATTGGTTCGTTTTGTTGAAAAACTGAACAAAAATCTAGAACTTGAATAAATCGGAAAATTACAAAATTATACATTAAAAACTAAAACAAGCGAAAAAAAATGAAAAATCGTAAAGTGAAACATAAGATTTCAAAATTTACAAATCGGTGCCAATTTAAAAAATTCTCTTATAACATAACTATAAAAACAAAAAATTGAAAATAGAAACATTGCCAAAATTGAAAAATACAGATGAAAAAAGTGAATAATTGAAAAGTTGGAAAATCCAAAAATTAAAAAAATTCAATTTGAAAAACTGCAAATATGTAGGTAAAATTGAAAAATTATTAAATGAAACAATAAACGTCGAAAAACTGAAAAATCGAAAAAATAAAAACTTGAAAAATTAAAAACTGAAAAATCAAGAAAATCAAAAAATTGCGAAATTGTAAAATTGAAAAAAACGAAAAACTGAAAAACGGAAAATTATAACGTGGAAATTGGATATCAAAAAAGTAAATAAATGAAAATTGAAAATGAAAATCGAAGATGTGAATAAAGGGAAAATTGAAAACTCTAAAAATTGCAAAATTGTAAATTTGACCATATTCAAATTTGTAAAACGGACACATTGCAAACTAAAAATTTGTAAAAACTATAAAACTAGAAAATGGAAAGTTGAAAAATCGGGAAAATTATTTTCCAAATTTTCAATTTTTGAGTAAATTGATTCTTTTTGTTAAAAAACTGAAAAATCAAAAACTGAGAATGAAAAATTGAAAATCTAGAACTTTAATAAAAAATCGGAAAATTACAAAATTATAAATTTAAAAACTAAAAAAAAATTGAAAAATCGTAAAAACAAAAAATTTTTCAATTTTTCACATTGCAAAATTGAAAAATACAGATGGAAAAAGTGAATATCTAATTAAAAAATTGAAATATCCAAAAATTAAAAAAAATTAAATTTGAAAAACTGCAAATGTGTACAATTGAAAAATTAAAAATTGAAAAATCAAGAAAATCGAAAAATTGCAAAATTGTAAAATTGAAAAAAACGAGAAACTGAAATTTGAAAAATTATAAAATGAAAATTGCATATAAGAAACGGGGCCTGAAGTGGCTTCTGGGGCTCGAAATCTACAAGAAAATGTATTTAGTTGAATTTGGAAAATGGTCAAAAATGGATCGAAATTTGGATAAGCTGTATTGGAAAATTTAAATTTTGAAAAACTCGTCTAAAAATTCTCAAAAAATTTAGAATTATAGATAGATCTTGACGTGCTGATTCAAAAAATGTAGCGTGTTTAGGATCACGGACCAATATTTTCGAAATATTCAGAGTAAAATTCGATTTTTTTGAAATTTAAAAAAATTGCGATATTTCAATGAGCGATTCTGGAAAAACGGTTGGAGTTATCGCAGAAACGAGGCCTGAAGTGGTTTTTGGGGCTCGAAATCGACAAGAAAATGTATTTTGTTAATTTTCGAAAATGGTCAAAAATGGGTCGAAATTTGCATAAGGGGGTAGTATTGGAAAATTTCAATTTTGAAAAAGTCGTCCAAAAATTATCAAAAAATTCAAGATCATAGATCTTGACGTGCTCATTCCAAAAATGTAGCGTGTTTAGGGTCACGGACCAATATTTTCGAAATATTCACAGGAAAGTTCGATTTTTTTTTTAATTTTTAAAAATTGCGATATTTCAGTGGGCGATTCTGGAAAAACGGTTGGAGTTATCGAAGAAACGAGCTCTGAAGTGGCTTCTGGGGCTCGAAATCTACAAGAAAATGTAATTAGTTAAATTTCGAAAAAGGTCAAAAATGGGTCGAAATTTGCATAAGCGGGTGGTATTGGAAAATTTCAATTTTGAAAAAGTCGTCTAAAAATTCTCACAAAATTCAGGATTATAGATCTTGACGTCCTGATTCCAAAAATGTAGGGTGTTTAGAGTCGAACACAAATATTTTCGAAATATTCAGAATAAAGTTCAATTTTTTTGAAATTTTTAAAAATTGCGATATTTCAGTGGGCGATTCTGGAAAAACGGTTGGAGTTATCGCAGAAACGAGGCCTGAAGTGGCTTTTGGGGCTCGAAATCTACAAGAAAATGTATTTAGTTAAATTTCGAAAATTGTTATAAAAATAAAAAAGTGAAAATTCGAAGAATTGCAAAATTGAAAAATTGAAAACCTCAAAAATTTAAAATTGAACTATCACCACATCCAAGTTTTGATTTGCCAATTCATTAATATTTTTAAATTGTTTATACAGAATAACGAAAAACAAATGAATGGTGCAATGTATTTTATCCATGAAATCGAAAACGACTTATTACAATTATCATTAATGTGCAGGGGTATAATAAGATTACAATCACTGTTTTTCTAAGATTTTTTTATTATACTTCAGGGACGAAGGAAGTTCCGTCTACATAATTTTAGATACATTTTTTGTTATTTTTATTGTTCTTCTCGTACAAGTGGTTCGTTGGTGTCTGCTTTCAATGCTTGATTTCAAGATCATTGTCAATGATTTAGGAAGCCATCTTGACGCGATTTCCTAACCTAAACTGTGTATTTTATGACCAAGCATTTTCACGAGTTGCGTTTTTGAGTCCACTTTCCCTCGCTTCGGTGGCTATTTAATCAACAAACAGGTACAGGGGTATAATAATATTACAATCGCCGTTTATATAAGCAAACATTGTTGAAACTGAAAACAAATGAAAGTGTTTTAACACTTTTTTACACGCAGTGTAATTAAATGAAGCAACGTAACTGTAATAATAACCACTTGCTTGTTTACATTTTCACTTCATTACATGACAAATCTTCCCGTGTTTTTTATTTTAAACAGTCGCTGACAGATTGAATTAATCATGAAATTAATTGAATTAATCGCTTGCATACTTTTTCATGCAATACTGCTTCTTGTTGAACAATCAATTAAAAATAAAACGACACGACGCGACGTTAAATTAGCATAATGTTAATGTGCAGATAAACCCGATAATTAATTTTTAATTAGAAAAATTAATATTAAAACCGATGGTACCTCGTCGATTTCCTTATGTACAGTTGCCAACGGAAAATTCCCACCAGCAAAAAAAAAAAAAAAAAATCGAGTGTCAAATTTCGCAAACGATCGCACGAAATTTACGAGTGATCAAGACATAAAACTGTCGCAGAAAAAACTGACATTCATTAAGTGTTTCTTCACCCGAAGCAAGAAATTCCCCGACCTGTTCCTCGCAAATTTATCGGCAATTTTAAAAAGCCCGAATTCGAAAAATTCAAAAGTTTACATGAATCGCGCATAAATCGCGTTTCCTGATCAGATAACGCACACAAACGCTGTTTTCGTTTTATTTTAAAATTAGCACCAATCATCGCCGTTAAAACCCGGAACTTCACGCAATTATCGGACTCTTCTTAAATTTATTTGCATTTAAACGACACTTTATGCAGCTTCACAAAATCGCCTTGGCGGGTTTTTCGAGACGGATGTTGCGACGTCACGTGACACCACGTGACGGAGGATTGTTAAAATGTATCATCACGTGCCGAAAACCTTGAGAGGAATTTAAAAAGTTCAATGGAAGAAGTTACGTCAAGAATAAAAAAATGGAATGAATTATTCATCGTTGGCTAATTTGTCTTAATAAATTTCAAAAAAATTATGTTCGATGTACTGTTGACCCAATGGCACAGTTACACGCTTATCGGCGATTGATTTTTCTTGTATCCCGTTTTTATTGTTTCATCCATCAGCCGGCGGCGGAGTGACACAAAACACTTGTAATTAATGCTACCGAGGAGATTTTCAAGAATTTTCGGGTGACGTCACGACATCCGTGTTTGTTCGTTTTTTTCGCTCGAAAAAATTTAATAACTTATTTACTTTATCTTTATTATCGCGCTACGTGACGTCAGGCGGACGGCTTCCACGAAAATGTGCAAGCTCAAATTAAGTACTATCTAACGGTCCACAAAATCTCGTAAAACCGTTTGTTCGGTCAACACCGGCCTCGCTGTGTTCCATTTGCAAGAGAAAGTGAAGCTGGCTCTGAAAAAAACCAAATCCAGAGCTGCCAACGTGACAGCGAAAGCGCAAATTTACGTTGGCACCACTTTCACCGAGGGTTCGTTGGTTAGCTCCGCGGGGTTGGCAGCACTTTCACTACCATTTCAACCAACATAAGCAATTAAAATATTCAATAAAGGTCGATTTTTATTTATTAACTCGCTCTAGAACTTTCACTTTCGCATTTTTTATAGTCGCTCGAGATAATCAAACCGAGTTTTCTATTTCGGGACAAAACCAAATGTCACGTGGGGGTTCAAGGACGCGTTTGCGGATCGTAAATCTCAGGTGGCGCCCTCGCAAAAAACCTTGACAGGAATTCGCGGCGTCACTGATCCACATCCTGGTCCAGTGGTGCCACCCAATTTTCTTACGCGAGCACACATCCTGAAAAGCAGTCTTGAAAATGCGAGTGACTCATCTACTCCTATTTAAAAATCAAATCCGGATTCGTGTATAATATACACATACTTGGAACGAATTAAGAATATCACGCTACACAGAATTGTTTGTTATGTTGGCATCTCTGATAAATCACGTTTTTTTTTTGCAAGAAAAAATACGAAGGGGTCGAAGGTCGGACTCCGACCAAAGTCACTGTCATGGCCGGGGTCAAAAAACCCGTCTGGTGATCTAATGGCAGGGGTCACGAAAATAACACCCACACGTCGATTTTCGTCTCGATTGGGTTGGCTAAAATTAAAATTCACTAGGTAAAAAATAACGAGTTTTAATTGCGATTAATCGAGGTTAAAACCGACCCTTTGTATGACCCGCCCCGCCACTTCAACCCCGCTTCGGACGCAGTTGGCAATACTGTCTCCCTCTACGTAGCGTGCCAGAAATCCCCCAGCGAAAGCGTCCCCAGCGCCGTTGCTATCCACAACTTCGACGACTTTCTTAACCTCAAACACCTGCCAATCGGAATCGTGGAACACCACAACTGCCCCGCCCCCTCTAGTGACGACAACAACACGTGATTTGTTATCGAAACGTCGATTGGTTGCCGCCACTACTTCGACGACGTGGTTTGAGGTTATGTTGTGGATTTGCGCAAAAGCGCGGTGTTCCTATTGAAATTCGAACAATAAAACGAGATGGGTAAATCCAAGACTTACCGCCTCGTTTCCGAAGACTATGGAGGCGTTTTCGTAGAGGTGCGTCATTTCTTGGGGGAATTTTTTGCTCAAAAATGGCGCCCCAAGATTGAATGCTACGGTTTGGCTGGTGGTGGCGAGTTTGGTGATTGTGTCTAGGGAGACACTGATGAAAAAACCCTAGGAAAAATATATTATACATCGATGTTCCCCCATGTCATAGTGTTTTTATGACGTTCTTAACCTACAGACAGATAGACCAGAGACGGACCATCGCTAATTCGCCTCCATGTTTCCTCATCCAGCGAAAAACTTCTGGAAACCCCCAAATCGGTGACCAGAGTCCTCGCTTTCCCCATAAGCAGCACTGCCACTTTTCCTGTGTTTCCCCCAACCTGTCTTAACCCCCCGCTCAAGCCTTCTTTTCCCAGCTGTTTTTTGATCATCTCGCCGTACTCGTCGTCGCCGACGGTTCCTAGGTACGTCACGTTCCTCGGGGATCCCCGCAGCCTGCACACCGTCCTGGCCGTGTTGGTGACGCTGCCCCCGACTTGCACCGACGTGGCCCGAACCTCGTCGAACAGCCCCCGGTTGGTCTCGTCGACGACGTACGCGTTGTCCCGGTCCAGGCGGTACTTCCCCAAGACATCGTCGCCGACGTTGGCCGTGACGTCCATCAGCGGGCTCCCGAAAAAGAACATTCGAACGTCGTCTGGAACAAACGAACTCACTTTCGAATGAAAGTCGGAACAACAAACACAATTACGGTGGTTGCAATTCATCACTCTCTCACTGTTCGAGCGTTCGATGAAAGTGAAATTAATAATCGAGTAATCGAATGAATAATAAAAAAGAATTCGGATGAAAGCAGGATTCCTTCCTGGACAGGTGTCACGTGTCACGTGACCGTGAACTCTCACTGGCGGTAATTGGATGGAATCCGAAAAATGCCGGCCGGCCATTGGCCGGCGGAAAATCGACAGTGTAAAAGTAAAAGTTGGATTTTCGGCGCGGTAAACGAAAAAAATGTGACGTAAAGGTGATGTTTGGAGGTTATGTAAATGAGGAGTCGACGAACTTGACGGGGAAAAATAAGAACGAATTAGTATTCATAATCATAGGTTTTATGGGTTTTTAGTTTTTACGGGTTTATAATTATTATTTTTTGGCGGTTTTTTGCGCGCGGGAAAAAAGCGCTCGCGGACTAGTTTCTTTTTTTTTGCGACGGTGATGAAGCGTCGCAGTAATCGCAGTAATAGTTACGTCACCGGTGTTTTAATGTTTTCGGGTTTTTAAATAAATATTATTTCATGTTTCATAAATAAAACAAAACGCTTAATTATGGAGTAATTACGGGAGATAATTATAGTAAAAGTGCCAAAAGTATGACGTGATGACTAGATGATAGTCGGAACGGTTGAACCTTTCGCTTATAATATAATACAGGCACATAAAAAATGAGTAAAATTCCTATTATTATCAGGTTTCTCGATTTAATCTTTATTAATTACGATTTTAAATAAAGCGATCTCTTAATTAAAGTCGGACCAATTAACGAATGTGAATTATGGTTCGGGTACGTTCCCACTGTGACATGACAGATTTAGTGTTTCACAGAACAATTTTGTACCGAGACAGTGAGATTTTTCCACTGCTGCGGTTCTAATTTCGCAAAAAACACAGTTCTAACTGAGACAAATAAATTCGAAATGTCACTGTGACAAAAAAAATCGGATTTCTCAAACTATCTCAAAATACTCAAACTTTGACTATGTGTCAGGGTGGGTAAAAATAAACAAGAACTTCTTCTTTTTTAAGAAAAAATCTGGTGACTAGTTCGAATTAGGCGACTGTTACGTGACCATTTTCGAAATGTCTTGTAATTGCTGTTTTTTCACAAATTACTTAACTACGACGAATTATGATTTTTATCCACCAAACCGAATACCTTGTAAACATTACACTGCAGTAAAAGTGGATAGTAACAGTCTAAAAACTTCCTTCAAAGATAAAAAGTGTGATTTTTTGTATACTTTTTAAAATTGTTCTATGGCTTTAACAAATCGCATAAACTAAATTTCAATAACCGAAGAAATATTTGTCCGCTACAATCAATCAGTACAACATACGCGTACTTTATTCCACACATTTCACACAACTTACGCAATAAACGTCACTAGATGTTAGTATCAGAATACTAAATTGAGTAGTTTTAAATAACATGATTATAAATAAAGTTTATAAACAAAGTATTACGCAATTTTATTTTTGTTTGTACTATAACATGATGAGCCGTTTTGGCGATTTTTCATGACGTCACTCATACACAGATGGCGCTTTCTCCAATTCTATTTTAAAGTCACAATTCTATTTCTATCCTGAATGAATACAAATTTTAGTACAAGCATGCGAAACACGTTCAGGTGTGTTATTTTTACACATTACAACACGTGTTATTTGTTTAATGACGGATTAAACTGACCTATAAAATAAAAAAGCAATAATAATAAAAGTCATCACCTCGTGCATTTTCTGAATACATTGTAATTAGCATCGAAACGTCAGAATAAACTGTCTACAATTGTATAAACATAGATTTAAAACGCGTCAGTCACTTGTGGCGACGGAATTGATAAAAATGATAACGTTACTAGACCCAACTTTAGACACTTATGCTTACTCTCGTGTATTACTGGTTGCCTAAAATATTTTCAATAATTATCCTAACACGGAATTAGTTTATAATAAACACTATGTATGTATGTATATATTTATACAACGACAAACAACTAAATATACATCACAGGACCCACCATGGTGCCAATATTTTTAAACAAACATAAATAGTTACCTTTAGCGCCCATGCTTCACTCGACCTTGACTCTTGTAGAGGTTATCACCCAATTTCGCCAGTTGAACCCAGCGATTTCATTCAGCGTTTATATCAGTCGCCACAACTGGCGTCTGCACCCTTTTTGTGACCCCGCAGCCCCCATAAAACCCATTTCATTCCTCTCCACCTCCTGTCAACTGTCAACTCAAACGTCAACCGCCATTTTATCCAACTTCTCGATTGTGTTGGACGTACGGTATGAAGTTATTTATTTATTCCAAATTTGAATTTAAACCCCCTCGAATTTTTATTTCTGACGATTAAATTAATTGCAGGTGCGATGGTGCAAATAAGTTGCCCTTTATGTTGCAACGAGACTTTCGACTCACCTTCCACCCTCAAAATTCACCTGGTGGATATTGTGGAAAATCTGCATTGTCCCACTTGTCATGAAAAGTTCGACAAATTGTCTGACCTTGTGGACCATTTGGACACCGCCTGTGCTCTTATTATAGAAATCGATGACCAGTCAATCGAGAGTCCTCAAAGCATCGAAGAAACTGGCGAGCTTTCGGAGAGTATTCTAGCCAGAGCGCTACTGGAGGGTGGTAAAGGCACGACGGAACTCGTAGAGGAACAAGTGCAGTATTACTGTCAAAGTTGTGATTCGCAGTTCGGGGATATCGACGACCACTTGAGTAATTTCCATCAAGGACAAGAAATAATTTTGGTAACTTTTCACTATATTTAGACCCCTGAAAATTAATTTTCTTTGTAGGAGGAGGAAACCGTCAAACCCGCGGAGCCATCCCCCCCACTCCGCAAGAAAAAAGCACCAATCACGCAAGACATCAAAGACAAAGATGGCCGCTTGTACACCCGCAAGTTCGTCAAAATCGACAAATTCTGGCTGCAGGACGAAGACACCACTTCCACCCAAAACAACGTCGTGGAAGTCGCTTTATGTCAAACCTGTAACACTTGTTTCCCCACCTCTGAAAACCACGAATGCGCCGAAACCGACGCCAAAGATTTGCACATTTGCGACATTTGCAACACCTCTTTCTCCTCCCTCAAGTCCTTGAGGCTCCACCACCGCATGCACGTGCCAATCAAAACGCGCGAAATCGAAGCCGCGACCAATGACGACGACAGGGAGGAGACAGTCAGGGAGATCTTTATTTGCAAAGTGTGCAAAAAGACGTACAACAAAGAGCACGAACAAGCACACATGAGTTTGCACGAGTACAACAACGGGTTTAATTGCGGGGTGTGCAATAGGAAGTTCTTTACCAAGCCTAACCTAGAAATGCACATGAAGGCTCACACTAACAATAAAAAGTTTACTTGTTCGTATTGTAAGAAGCCGTTCGTGACGTACGATGCTTTGAACGAGCATTTGCAGAATCAGTGCCAGAAGAGGCCGTACGCTTGCCAGTACTGCGGCCGGAGATTCACGAGGCCGCACGAGAAGGTCAAGCACGAACGGATACATACGGGGGAGAAGCCACACGTGTGCGAGATCTGCGGCAAGGCTTTTAGGGTGAGTTATTGCTTGACGTTGCACTTGAGGACGCATACGGGGTCCAGGCCTTACCAGTGCAAACATTGCGGGAAGAGGTTTAAGTCTCATAGTGTGTATAACCATCATTTGTTGACGCATTCGGATGTGAGGGCTTATAAGTGTCCTTATTGTCCGAAGGCTTTTAAAACCAGCGTCCAGTTGGCGGGGCATAAGAATAGCCACATCAAGCCGTTTACGTGTACGGAGTGTAATAGGCCTTTTGCGTCCTTGTATGCGGTGAGGGCCCACATGGAGACACACAAGAGGGACAACAACTTGAAGTACGAGTGTTGGATTTGTGGGGCTTTGTACTCGAGGGCGTTCGCTTTGAGGGATCATTTGAAGCAGCAGCACCAGCAGGTGGTGGGGGAGAAAGATAAAACGGAAGTGGTGGGAGTGGATGAGGAGATGGAGGCGGCAAATTCGATTTTAGTTAACGAGGATGATATTATTTTGGGGCTGGAGGGGGCGACGAGTATCGAGATAATTGAGAACGAGGGGGATTGAATCAGGTTTTCGTGACTTCTGCTGTTTTTAATGTACCTGTTAAATAAACTGAGTGTTAGTAAGGTTATGTTCGGCTTTCATTACAAAAACAACAAAAACTTTTTTTTTTCTGAAAGGTGTTTATTGAGGCACCGGAGGTTCAACGACAGGTATCTGGGATACAAAGGGTGAGGCGTTCGAATCAGCCGCTTCGATCTCTTCCTCTTCGTAATCATTCCATGGTTGCACGCGGCCACTTCCAAAAACTGCGAAAAAAAAACACGTAGCAAACAGGATGGCCAAATGTAGCCAAAAAACAGGTATCCAGTCCATGTAAGAGTCCTAAAAAGAAAACTGTAAAATTCGATTGAACAAGTTTTTTTCGTACTTCCAAAGTCCAGTATTTCCTGATTTCCGGTAGGATAATTCCTGGTAGGGCTCCGATTCCGTTGACTATACCCATTATTATGCCACTATAGTTCGGCGCGAGATCCAGAGTGTTGATTCTGGTGCCTGAGTAGTAAAAACTCATCATACCCATACCGACCGTGAACAGAAAAACTGCTGTTTTTCTGGCACAAGCAGCGTAAGCTGCTGCCACCACGAATATGGCTGGTCCCACAGCACCTGAAAACTCCTTAGAAGCAGTTCGTTTAATAAACGGAAGTCGTACCAAACGTGGTGAAGGACTTGCGGTTTGTGGTAATTTCCACCACTCGCTTATTGATTAGGAAGTCTACTAAAAATCCAGTGGAGAGAGTTAGAACACCCATCGTCAGGTATGGCACAGCAGCTATATAGTAACTCTGCTTTAAGTCGAACTTCAACACAGACATCATGTACTTGGGAAGATCTTTGATCATCACGTGCCACATCCACGTATGGCCGAACTGCGCAATGATCAGTGCCCACAGACGAATCGAGAACAACATCTCGATCCAAGGTATTTTTGTAACTTTGTCAACAAGCAAAGTCTCTAAAAGCAAATCGTGAAAGCTCACAAGCTCACTTCTTACCAAGTTCCTCCTGGAGATAAGCGTACTCCTTTTCAGTGGCCAATGGACTATTTCTGTACGTCGCCTGTCCAAAAACTAGCCAAACTACCAACCAGATTGCTGCTAGGGAACTCTGTAAGTACAAGAGCGAACTCCAAGTATCTGTATAAACGATGAAAGAAACGCTCACTGCATCTCTAAACACAACAGCGAACTGAGTAGCGCAAAAAACTATACTACTCAGTTTTCCTCTATCGCGAGCTGGTGTCCAGTGCGCTAGAATCGAATGGACACTAGGAAAAAGCATTCCAATTGAGAAACCTGTAAGTCCTTGAAGCCCAGTCAGGATATTGTAGTCGTGCGAACTACCGGTTAACATCACTGGAGTGAAGACTGTTAAAATGATCGTTACGAAAGTGCAACAAGACAAAACGATTTTGCCTCCGTATTTGTCGGAAAAGTAGCCGCCGGGAAAGTGCCCGAAAAAGTACCCGTAGAAAAATGCCTTAGCAATGGAGGTTTGACTTGCTGCTGACCAGTCGTACAGATTTTTTGTCTTCTAGAAAATGATGCTATAGGTTTTGAGGGATGGCCAAGAGTACTTACTGAAGTATTTACTGGGCTGGATTGCTTTTGTGTTTCGTTATAGTAGCAGATGTCATTTTTGTTCGTAAAGCGTGAGACGTTCGCGGGTACTACCAACTGATTCAATGCCAGTTTAAAAGATATACGTATGGTGAAGTTGGTTAGTACTCCGAAGAACAGCAGAAGGGCCATGATGTAGCGTTGTGGGAGAAGGCACACTGAAACAAACCTACCAATTTCAGAATCAAAACTAGAATAAACTTACGGCGACGTTTCGGCCTTTGAGAAAGTCTGAAAATGTTGTCCAGACAGTACATTTTCACTGGAATCTTGACGGAAAAAAAAAGTACAGAACGTTCAAAGTATGTGTAAACAGACGTCGTAGCTATGGAGTTACACGCTGAAGCGTTTGTTAGATGTACTGGCAGTGTGATTTCGAAAGAGTTTAAGATGAACTAAAGAAATCTTAACGAAAACTGTTTTTGCGTCATGCAGGTAATTTTGATAGACATCAAAGGTACCACAATATAGGTTTCAAGAAAGATCTACCAAGCCAAATTTTGAGTCGACGACATCGAACTTTAGTCGAAATAAAACTCGTTGCTGCTGACAATCTGTTTCTTCGTAACTATGTAGATGCAGTAAACAAAATTCACGAAAACTGTCAACCAGAACACTGTTATGAAGCCATAAATAAAAGACCGAACTCCAAGAACTGAATTGCTAACTGCATGGTTGAACATAACAGCGAACTGAGCGGCGCAAGAAGTACACTACTCAGTTTTCCCCTTTTTCGAACTGGAGTCCAATGGTAAGAAATGGACGGACGCGAGGAGAGATCTTTCCCGAAAACTAGGAAGTTCTTGTTCCGCGTGGAACGTCTGCAGCTATTGGTACTTCCGTGAAGATTGTGAAATGTAACAGCTAACTCAATAAAATTCATGTGCTAAATTTGTGCGTCTTATTTTTATTATCGCTGTGGGTAGGTTTTTCCTTGTCTCTAAATATGAGTACTACCAGATGGGGTTCCATTGCAAAATGGCTACGGAATGGAGAGTAGTACTTGCACTGAACAACGGAACGGTCAAAAGAAAATACAACGTTGTAATAGTTAAGATTTTTTATTTTTGCTGTCACAATGTCATTTTTAAGATGCATCAATGTGTGCTAGGCGATTTTCCAGTTCGTAATCATTCCATGGTTGCACTTCTCCACTTCCAAAACTTATAAAAAAAATACACGTACAAAGCAGTATAAAGAAATGTAACCAGAACAAGGCTTTCCATTCGTTGAAGGTGTTCTAAAAAGAAAACGGTAAAAATGGTTCAGCAGAATGGTTAGTTGCACATTTATAATTAGGTCATCCTCGATGTGTGGTACTATAACACCTGGTATAGCCCCAATTCCGTTAACTATGCCCATTATCGTGCCGCTATAGTTTGGTGCAAGATCCAGAGTGTTGATTCTAGTACCTGTGTAGTAAAAACTCGTCATACTTATACCAACTGCGAACAGAATAATCGCTGCTTCTCTTGAACAATGAACAAAAGGTACTGCCGCTAAGAAAATGGCAGGTCCAACAGCACCTGAAAACTTCTTTAGAATCAGTACGTTTATCAAAGTGAAGTTTTACCAAACGTGGTGAAAACTTTGCGGCTTGTGGTAATCTTCACCAGTTTGTTGTTAATTAAGTAGTCCATAAAAAATCCATTGCTAATAGTCAGAACAGCCAGCATAGAGTACGGCAGGGCAGCCAGAAAGTAACTATTCCTCATGTTGTACCTCAATACGTACATCAGGTACTCGGGAACATCTAATATCAGTACATGCCAGATCCACATGTGGCCGAAGTGTGAAACGATGAGTGCCCACAGAGGAATAGAAAAGAACATCTTCTTCCAAGGTACTTTTCTATAATTATCACTAACCAAATCGGCTAAAAACGAATCGTGCAAGTCCACAATCTCATTTCTTACCAAGATTCCTGTCGAGATACGCATTCTCCTCTTGAGTGGACAATATACCATGTCTGTATGTCGCCTGTCCAAAAATTAGCCAAACCACCAACCAAATTGCTGCTATGGAACTATACAGGTAAAAGACCGAACTCCAAGCCTCCGTATGGAGGATGAAAGAAAAGCTAACTGCATCGTTTAACACAACACCGAACTGAGCAGCGCAAAAAACTATACCACTCAGTTTTCCTCTATCGCAAGCTGGTGTCCAATGCGCTAGAATCGAATGGACGCTGGGAAAAAGCATTCCGGTTGAGAAACCAGTAAGTGCTTGAACCCCAATCAAGGTGTAGTAGTCCATCGAACTACTGCTTAGTATCACTGGAGTCAAGATTGTTAAAATGATTGTTGCGAAAGTGCAACAAGACAAAACGATTTTTCCTCCGTATCTGTCGGAAAGGTAACCTCCGGGAAAGTGCCCCAGAAAGTATCCCAAGAAAAATGCCTGGAGGATGTGGACTTGATGTGATTCTGACCAGTCGTACTTTTTTGCGGTCTGGAAAGGTATGCTGCAGGTGTTGAAACACGGGAGAATACTTACTGTGATAGGGGGGGTGGGTGGTTCGCTATATTTGCAGGTTATGGTTGCGTTCGCAAATCGTATGATCTTGGGGGGGACTACCATGTGGAACAAGACGACTTGAAAAGACACACGTATGGTGAACAGGGCCAGTACTCCGCAGGACAGTAGAAGGGCCATGATGTAGCGTTGTGGGAGAACGCAGACTGGAGAAAAGTTACTGATTTAGGAATCAAAACTCAAATAAACTCACCTCGATATTTGAACCTATGAGAAGGTCTTAGAATTTTGTTGAAAAACTGCATTTTAACTTGAATCTTGATTGAAAAAAAATATCTTCTATCGTGATGTAGTGTTTGTAAACAGACGTCGTATCTAAGGAATTACACACAGGCGTTTGTTAAAATGTCGACTGCCAGTGTGATATTGAGGCGGTTTAATAAAAATCAAGCAAATCTTAAAAAAATGGTTGAAAGTTATTTGGACAGAATTTCCCTTGCTTCTGAAGTACACTGCAACAAATACTGCTTCTCTGAAAAATGATAAAATTCGATTTTGTGGAATTCTACTTTTTGTGATAACCTCTATGGAGTAAAAACAATATAGAAGGTTCTAGTCACAGTGTAGTAAAAATAGGCAGCTGGGAGCCCCGAGAAGATATAATATTCTTAAAATAAGTCACTAGGGGCCCCCGAGAAGGTTTCGCCTTTTTTAAAAAAGGATAGTTGGTACCCCCGAGAAGGTTTCACATTCTTAAAAAAAGTTATTTGACGCCCCCGAGAAGGTTTTACATTTTTAAAAAATACAGTTGGGACCCCCGAGAAGGTTTCACATTAAAAAAATATATTTGGGGCTCCCGAGAAGGTTTCACATTAAAAAAAACATTTGGCGCCCCTGAGGAGGTTTCACATTTTTAAAAAAGACAGTTGGGACCCCCGAGAAAGTTGCACATTATTAAAAAAATACAGTTGGAACCCGCGAGAAGGTTTCACATAAAAACAATATTTGAGGTCCCCGAGAAGGTTCTACATTTTTAGAAAAGCCAGTTGGGACCCCCGAGAAGGTTTCACATTTTTAAAAAAGACAGTTGGGACCCTGAGAAGGTTTCACATTAAAAAAAAAATACATTTTGGGCCCCCGAGAAGGTTTTACATTTTTAAAAAAGACAGTTGGGAGCCCCGACAAGGTTTTACATTTTTAAAAAAGACAGTTGGGACCCCCGAGAAGGTTTCACATTAAAAAAAGAGAATTAGGACCCACGGGAAGGCTTTACATAATTTGTTATCGTAAACATAAATGTAAATGATTTTTTAATGCATAGTGAGCCGAGGGCGGAGCTTAGATGCAAAATCCTCATTTCTCCACAAGAAATTATGTGAGAAAAGTTCTTAAAAGAGTAAAATTTTGTAAAAAAAATATGAATTTTGCAGTTAGACTCCGCCTCTCGGTCTGACAATGAATAAAAAAAATCATTACAATTGAGATGGGGTGGGTGGGTGGGGCTTATATTTCACCCTGTCGTGTTAATATACGTAGTTTTCTTTTCACAACAAGAAACTTAAAATATGTTAAAAATTCTTGTAGGGAAATATGTATTTTGTAATTATGCCCCGCCCCTCTGTTTGACAACGAATAAAAAATTAATCACAATTGAGATCGGGATTTTTTTTAGCTACATATAGTTTCTTTGAACAACACGATAGCTATTTTGAGTTTCTTGTTGGGAAATGAAGATTTCGTATATTAGAAAAATAAAATGTAGGAAATATAGGCCCCGCCCACCCACCCCCTCTCGATTGTGACGATTTTTTATTCATTTTTAATTTCTTGTTGGGACAACAAGACTTTGTACATTAAGAAAAAATGTACAAAATATAAGCCCCACCCACCCACCCCCTCTCAATTGTGATGATTTTTTTATGCATAGTGAGCCGAGGGCGGAGCTTAGGTGCAAAATCCTCATTTCTCCACAAGAAATTATGTGAAAAAAGTTCTTAAAAGAGTAAAATTTTGTAAAAAAAATATGAATTTTGCAGTTAGACTCCGCATCTCGGTCTGACAATGAATAAAAAAAATCATTACAATTGAGATGGGGTGGGTGGGCGGGACTTATATTTTGCCCTTCCTTCTTAATATACGTAGTTTTCTTTTCACAACAAGAAACTTAAAATATGTCCAAAATTTCTGTAGGGAAATATGTATTTTGTAATTATGCCCCGTCCCTCTGTTTGACAACGAATAAAAAATTAATCACAATTGAGATCGGGATTTTTTTTTAGCTACATATAGTTTTCTTTGAACAACACGATAGCTATTTTTAGTTTCTTGTTGGGGAATGAACATTTCGTATATTAGAAAAATAAAATGTAGGAAATATAGGGCCCGCCCACTCACCCCCTCTCGATTGTGACGATTTTTTATTCATTTTTAATTTCTTGTTGGGACAACAAGACTTCGTACATTAAGAAAAAATGTACAAAATATAAGCCCCGCCCACCCACCCGCTCTCAATTGTAATGATTTTTTTATGCATCGTGAGCCGAGGGCGGAGCATAATATGCTGTCTACATTTTTTCTATTCTTTTCTTTTTTTTAGCCAAACGTATCATGATGATTTTTTTCCTCGTTGTCAGATCGAGGGGCGAACCTTATTTGCAAAACCCATATTTGTCTAAAAAAATTACTATTTCAAACATATCTTAAGTTTCTCGTTGTGAAAAGATAACTACATTGTATTAAGAAAAAAGGACAAATATAAGCCCCGCCCATCCACCCTGTCTCAATTGTGATGAATTTTTCATTCGTTGTTAGGTCGAGGGGCGGGGTTTAATTCCAAAATTCATATTTACCTAGAAAAATTTACCTTTTTAGACATGTTTTAAGTTTCTAAAAATAAAAAAAAACATCACAATGGAGATGGGGTGAATAGGCGGGGTGGGTCTCTTGTGAAAAGAAGGCTACATATGTTAAGAAAAAAAGGCAAAATATAAATATAATTTGTAACCAGTAGATCACGGCCGGAATGCCTTACGCCAATGCTAAACTGTTGTTCTAGCGTGCATTATGTTTTTGCCAAAATTTGGACGGGTAGGGAAAAACTTAGCCTCGTTCAGGTTAGCTTATTAAATGTCAACTATCTGATTCAATCCAAGCTGTCCTGAATATTAAGAAGTTTTGGTGAGATAGAAACATCTCAGATGAATGGACTAAAAATTGTGAAAAATTATACCTAAAATCTTTAAAAGTCATGTGTCATAAATTGTTTTTATTAACAGTGTAATTTATTTATGTGACTCGTGGGTCCATATATTGGTTTCTTGGCGTCATAGAGGAATTCTCCATCTCTATTTCTTCTTCTTCATGGTCATCACCATTCCACGACTGAGTCTCCGTAGAGCCGATGAACGTGAACGTAAGAGTGCAGAAAGCAACCATGCCCACGTATACCCAAAACATCAGTTTTTTCTCCGGTAGCGTATTCTAAAAATGTTGTATTACAAGAAGATTAACGCATTAGTCTGTTCTCACATGGGGTCTAATAATTGCTGCAAGTTTTGGCACACCTATAACAGGAGTGATATCAAATGTATTCATCATACCCATAACGGATGCACTGAAATTCGGTGCAAATTCCAAAGTGTTGATTCTGGTGCCACTAAAGTAGAAAGACATAAGGATCATCCCTATAGTAATCAAAACAATCGCCGATTCCCAATGGCAGCCAGCATAGCTGGACGATAGAAGAAAAGTGATCGGTCCCATGAGACCTAGAAATTTTTGTCACGGCAAAAAACCTCTACACTGTTTGATTTTACCGATAGTCGTGTAGAGCTTGCGCAGAGTCATCAAATGTACGTATTTCCGATTCGTCAAAAAGTCTGCAACAAATCCATTCAGTACTGTCATCAAACCCATCAAGAAATAGGAGAGAGCACATAAACCGTCGGTTGTCTGATAGTCGAAGTAGAGGGCATGTCTTAAATAGGGATGAAGGTTGGTGAGCATCACCTTCCACATCCAATTGAAACCGAAATGAGCAACGACCACTGCCCATAAAGCAAACGACGTGAAAAATTTCAACCAGGGGAATTTTTTTCTGCGAAAAGCTGTCATATTTTCTGAAACGAAACATCGACACCGTACTTTATCAAAATCTTACCTAGTTTCCTCGTCAGGAACTGCAGCTCTTCCTCATGCAGCCATTTGTTTTTTTTACTCTGGTAGTGCGAAAACCCGAAGAACGCAAAACATACAACCCAGATTAACCCCAATGCTATGTACAAGTAGAAAGGCGCGTTCCACATTTTTGTCGCGAGGATGAAATTGCTGGTAGTTCCGTAATGGAACACAACAGCGAACTGTGATGCACAGTAAGCTATAGAAGCCAGTCTTGCTCTCTCTTCCACGGGTGTCCACTGGGCTAGAATCGAGTTAGCGCCGCTATAAAACATCGCAAGTCCAACACCGGAGAGAAATTGCCAGAACATCAAAATGTAGTAGTCCATATCACCACCGCTGAGTATGGGGGGTATTATCGCCTCTACCAGACCGAGGAGTATTACTGGAATCCAGACAAAGTATTTTCCGCCGTACATATCCGCGAAATATCCACTAGGAAAGGCCGTTACGAGGACACCACATGAGGGTGCCAACTCGAGGTTTAGATAATCCGAAGGGGCCCAGAGGTGGAACGAGGGCTTTACGTAGGTTACTTTGCTTACATTTCTTGCGAATTTGCACTGACCGCTGTAACTGAGATTAGTGTACGGTTCTGGTTCTTTCATATGCTGTAAGGCTTCTTTGAAGGAGATGTACATGAGAATGTAAGCGATGCCTCCAGTGCAGAGTAGAATGGATATTTTGTAACGGTAAGGAATGTTCGAAAGAGACTTACATCGCAGCTTGGTTACCAAAGTCGGTAGGATACTTGAACTTTGAGGGGTATCATTTAAAAAATGTGATGACATTTTTACGAAGAACGAATTGTCAATATGGTATGTTGCTGTGATACTTGACAAACAAAAGTTTTTTCTGTGGGACACAGTTTAAGAAATAGTTACTAATCCGAAAGATTAACAGGTTATGGGCCTAGAGTACTAGCCAAGTACTATTGCAGTAAAACTAGAAGCAAAACGAAAGAAACTCATACGCGACCCGGTACGACGCCTATGGGTCTTCTAGTATGTGTGTGCTTATTCTGCTATATACGGAGATGACTCATCAGCGGCCGGCGGAGCGCTAAAGAAAAGACAGTTGTTTTCTTGAAATTGCATTTCATATGGAATGCCGTTATTCTGTTTTTCTATCACTGATAAATTTCCAGAAGAACTTTGGAACGTATAAATTATAAACTTTGATTAAGTTCTTTGCAGCGACCACGTAAAGTTTTAAAATATTGGTAATCCTCAAATATACCCGATTGTTTGTGGGCTAAATCAGCTTCTTTAGGTCGATTCCAATTGATAGAAGCATAAAAATCGATAGGATCTTCTGCAGTAGAAGAAGATGCATCCATTATTGTTGTTATGTTATGTTTCCAATTGTCTTGGAGTAAAAGAAGTAAAAGTAAAATCCGAAGATCAACAGCGAAATATTCGTTTGTTTCATCGTAACCATGTAAATGCTGACATTAACAGAATTATCGAAGACTGTCAACCAGAACACTGTTATGACGCCATAAATAAAAGACCGAACTCCAAGAACTGAATTGCTAACTGCATGGTTGAACGTAACAGCGAACTGAGTGGCACAAGAAGTACATTACTCAGTTTTCCCCTTTTTCGAGCTGGGGTCCAATGGTAAGGAACGGATCGACGCAAGGAGAAATCTTTCCCAAAAAGAAGAAAGTATGTAGCTTTGGGAGCAACGAGAACAAGAGTCGTACTACCGGAACATCTGAGATTAGTGTACTAAATTGTGAAAAATACCAAAAATCAATAAAAATGATACTATATTAATTTCGAAGGTTTTTGTTTTAATGAAGAGTCTCTATTACAATTATCAATTTTATATGAAGAAAAACACACAAGGAAAATTGGAACTAAATGACACTTTGTTTTTTGTTTTTACTTTGTGGTGTCTTTGGCTTTGGCTGTTGTGATGTAGTGGGCTCATTTCTTTGAACGTTTACTTCTTCTTCCTCATCTTTATAATTCCACGGTTGAACATCCGCACTCCCAAATATAGTGAACACGATAGTCGTGAAAGAAAGTATACCAAAGTGTATCCAGAACATGATTCTTTTCTCCGGCAACGATTGCTAAAAGTTTACTATTACAAGACGATTTACGCATTAATCTAGTCTGACATTGGGTGCTATTTTTCTAGAACTGGTGGCAGAATTAAATGAGGAATAAAGTCAAACATATTCATAAAACTAATGATGGTTCCGCTAAAATTCGGTGCAATTTCCAGACTATTGACCAAGATTAATTAGTTCGCAGGATTGAAAAGATTCAAAATCTCATGGGGTTGCCAATATGAAAACTCTTTTGTAACAATATGTTAATTTTGAAGGTTTCTATTTTGATAAACGTTTTTGATTACAATTAAAAGTTATACTTTATTTCGTGGTTGATGTTGAGGTAACACTTGGTTATATCTTGATGTAGAGGGGGCACTACCTGATGCCTCATACAGTTCTTCTTCCTCACCTTCGTAATTCCACGACTGAACATCCCCAGACCCAAATATACTATACACGAAATTCGCGCAAGCCATTATACCCAAGTCTACCCAGAACATCATCCTTTTCTCCGTCAACGATTCCTAAAAATTTAATATCACAAGGCGATTTATACATTAGTTTGTTCTGACTGTGGGTGATACAGATGCTGCAACTTTTGGCTGAATTAAAACAGGAATAAAGTTAAACGTATTCATAAAACCCATAACGGTTCCACTGAAATTCGGTGCAAGTTCTAAAGTGTTGATTCTGGTACCACTGAAGTAGAAACTCATCAGTCCCGTCCCTATAATAAAGAAGCAGGCCGCCATTATCCTATAGCAACCAGAATAGGCAGCCGCCAGAAGGAACACTGCCGGTCCCATGCCACCTACAAGTTTTCTTTTCGGCTAAAATCTCATCATTGTCTGATTTTACCAAAAGTCGTGTAGAGTTTGCGCAGAGTCGTCGACTGGACGTAACCTCGATTCGTCAAATAGTCTGCAACAAATCCACTCACCGGCGTCAAACAAGTCGTCGACATATATGCAATGGCAGATAAGGCGGCGGCAGTGTGGAATTCTAAATACAGCACATATCTTAAAAAGAAATGAACATTCTTGAACATGGCTTGCCAGATCCATAGGTGCCCAATATGCATAATGGCCAGTGACCATAAAGGAAGCGACTTCAATAATTTCCTCCAGGGGACTTTTTTTCGGTTAAAAGTTGTTGATTCCTCTGAAACGAGACTTCAACGTCGTAAAATAGTGAGTGGATAATATATCAAAATATTACCGAGCTGTTTTTTCAGGAAATCCAGCTCTTCTTGTCGCAGCCATCGGTTTTTAGTATAATAGTAGGAAAACCCGAAGAACACAAAGAACCCAGACCAGATTAATCCAACAGCCGCGTATACGAAAAACGGTGCGTTCCACATTTCCGTCGCTAGGATGAAGTTGTCGTTAATTCCATGGTGAAACGTAACAGCGAACGGTATTCCGCAGTAAACTATAGAAGCCAGTCTTCCTCTCTCTTCCAGTGGTGTCCATTGGGCCACAATCGAGTTAGTGCCGCAAAGAACTATCGCACCACCAACACCGATGAGAAATTCCCAGATAAACAAAACGTAGAACTCTACATCAGCACCACATAGCATCGGGGGTACCACCACTTCTATCACGCTCAGAACTATTATGGGTACCAAGACGAAATATTTTCCGCCGTGTTTATCGGACAAGACGCCGCTGGGAATGGAACTGACCATGATACCAAGTGCGGGTGCCTGCTGGAGTATTTGATAGAACTCCTTTCCCCATTTGTAGAAATCTCCGTCCACATGCCTCACTCTGCTTATGTGTTTTTCGAATTTGCAGTCGATGCTGTAGTTGGAGTTATAGTTTGGGCCCAGTTCGTGAAGGTGTCTAAAGGATCTGGGAAAGGAAAAATACGTGAGGAAGTAAGCAAAAGACCCGATGCTGAGTAGAATCGCTATTATATAACGATAACGAATATACCGCAAAGACTTAATTCGCTGCTTGATTCGCGAACGCGATAGTATACCGGAATTTTGTACTGAAACGGTCGGATCTCGTGATGACATTTATACGAAAAAAACAAAAAACAAACAAGTCGTGTCAGCACGACGTGCTACTCGGATCCCAAAAAACAATGAATTACTTCCTAAATTGTTAACACTGGCCATCATTCTTATAATCGGATGTTAGTTGTCGATATTGGAAGTCTAAAGTTTGTTGTACTACGTGTGATTCTGCTCCCAGGTGGAGGTAAAAAAAAGACAACTTTCCTACAAGATACGTATTTTCGATATAGGTAACCGTTGATGAGTCCATGTAGAAAAGGAAATCAAATTATTCATAATCCAAGTATATACACCTTTTTGATGAGTACCTTCCTAAAAATTCAAAATCACTTTTATAAAAGAGAGACCATACCTACTGGTGAGCAGTAATTAAGATGTGAGCGAACAAGAGGAAAATACAATGTCTTGAGAGCAGTAATAGATTAATTTTGACAGTGTCCCGAAATAAAACCCAACATCCTAATTGCTTTAATGAAAATAAAATTACAATAGTTTTTAAAAAGAAGTCTACAATCAAAAGTAACCCCCAATTTTCTCGACCACACGAGAAACAGAGGACCCACCAAGTTTATAATCAAAATCCACAGCTGCATCAATGTTAGAACAAAATATAATGAAACAATTTTCTACATTTCGAGGAAATAAGTTATTGTCTGTCCAATCATACAAGGTGTCTAATTGCAAAATCGATATTTCCTTATAAAAATTTTCCATTTTAAACATGTTTTAAGTTTCATGTTGTGAAAAGAAGTCTCCACATATTAAAACAAAAAGAAAAAATGTAAGCCCGCCCACCCGCGCTAACTCAATTGTGATGATTTTTTTTATTCGCCGTGAACAAAGAGGGCGAAGCTTAACTGCAAAATAATTATTTTCTTCAAATGTCAGAAAAACGGACCTTTGTATACCACCAGATACATAGTAAAACACGCATTTCAATGCCATGTGTCTATAAAAATACTTTTTCTGCCGCCTTTGTTTCTGCTATCGAGATTATCACGCGTACCTTGTAAATGCTGACAGTGGTGCTAAAAACAAACACTCCGTATAGTAGAACTGATTGCAAACAGTGTCCATGGTGTGCAGTTCCTGATTGTCGGGTTGTGTGGTGACATGATGTAGTGATGCCGGGGATAGTGAGGTTATGTAAAAAGAAATGTGTTACAATTTAACTTGATTGGGACGTTTGAAGAAAAAATAGTATGTTTTATTCGGAGTAAAACTGCCTAAAAGTGCCTAGTCTGTACTGACTCGCCACGAAAAGTAACACTTTTGCTCGTAATAAAACAATATACCTACTAATTCTTTACAAGAAATTAAAAACATATTTTTGAGGATAGTCTTGTTCAAAGAATACTATGTATATTAAAAAAAAGGCAACCCCGCCCGCCCACCCCATCTCGATTGTGATGACGTTATTTTACGAGACACGTTTAAAATAGATGGTAATTTTTTTTAAGGAAATATGGATTTTGTAATTAGGCTCCGCCCCTAGGTCTGAAAACGAATGAAACATTACTAACTAGATTAGGCTACGTATGGGTGGGGCTTAATCTTTGGCTTTAATTTATTCTTAGTATACATAGTATTCTTTGAACAACACGATACTCAAAAACATGTATTTAATTGCTTATAGAGAAATAAGGATGTTGCAGTTAAGCTCCGTCTCTTTGGCTAACGACGAATAAAAAAAATCATCACAATTGAGGTAGGGTGGGTGGGCGGGGCTTATATTTTGCCTTTTTTTCTTAATATGTGTAGATTTATTTCGACAACATGAAACTTAAAACATGTCTAAAATGATAAATTTTTTAAATCCCATTTTTTTCTTGCGATATAAATTTTTCAATTCTCTACTGAATCATCTAGTAAAGGAAGATCTATTAACTTGAATACGTTTTTTCGGAATATACAAATCCATTTCCATAAAAATAACGTTATAAAAATTCGAGACTTTCTCATCTAAACTAAAGCTATTGAAAAGATTTACCTATTGATAGAAGCAGTACCAACATGCACATCATCAATACTAGAAAATATAAGATCCAAAAATTTTTTCTATTATTTGGAATATGATTAATTTGACTCAAATTCAAAAAAGAATAAGATGCATTCATTATTGTTGTTGTTATGTTATGTTTCCAATTGTCTTGGAGTAAAAGAAGTCAAAGTAAAATCCGAAGATCAACAGCGAAATATTCGTTTGTTTCATCGTAACCATGTAAATGCTGACATTAACAGAATTATCGAAGACTGTCAACCAGAACACTGTTATGACGCCATAAATAAAAGACCGAACTCCAAGAACTGAATTGCTAACTGCATGGTTGAACGTAACAGCGAACTGAGTGGCACAAGAAGTACATTACTCAGTTTTCCCCTTTTTCGAGCTGGGGTCCAATGGTAAGGAACGGACCGACGCAAGGAGAAATCTTTCCCAAAAAGAAGAAAGTATGTAGCTTTGGGAGCAACGAGAACAAGAGTCGTACTACCGGAACATCTGAGATTAGTGTACTAAATTGTGAAAAATACCAAAAATCAATAAAAATGGTACTATATTAATTTCGAAGGTTTTTGTTTTAATGAAGAGTCTCTATTACAATTATCAATTTTAAATGAAGAAAAACACACAAGGAAAATTGGAACTAAATGACACTTTATTTTTTGTTTTTACTTTGTGGTGTCTTTGGCTTCGGCTGTTGTGATGTAGTGGGCTCATTTCTTTGAACGTTTACTTCTTGTTCCTCATCTTTATAATTCCACGGTTGAACATTCGCACTCCCAAATATAGTGAACAGGATAGTCGTGAAAGAAAGTATACCAAAGTGTATCCAGAACATGATTCTTTTCTCCGGCAACGATTGCTAAAAGTTTACTATTACAAGACGATTTACGCATTAATCTAGTCTGACATTGGGTGCTATTTTTTCTAGAACTGGTGGCAGAATTAAATCTGGAATAAAGTCAAACATATTCAGTTTCGGTGACCGTTCAGAGTGAACGGTCACCGAGTGCGGACGTTTGTTCTCGTTTCTCTGTGTTTAGCCTGGTCGTTTTGGTGAGCTCTTTCCATTTATTGTTAACTTTTAGGATATTTACTTATTTTGTTTACAATAAAGGGAATTTTCTCAACCTGCACGGGGTCAGGTCTCCCCTGTGGGATAATTTCATATAATATCAGCAGCGGTCTAGAATAATTAAAGTATTTTATCGCTTAGCTTTTTCTGTTTACTGCGATAAGCAGTCTTCCAACCTTTTTATGTTTGAGGCGAATGACTGCGGTACGTCGCAGTTGTCGCCTCAGTTTTTCTACATATAACAGCCACACTTCTATTTAAAATGACTGGCGATTCGCTAGTATTTCCCACAAAAGAACAAGCGATAGTTTGTAACGCTATTGCGGACTTAACATTAACTGATTATGTAAAAGCTATAGGTAGGATTGTCTCGCCAAAGAACGTCATCTACGCTTTCAAACTCTCAAAAGAACGTATTTGCATATACCTTAGTGCCACATTCTGGGTAGATGAAGTGGTGTCAAACCATTCATCAATAAGCATAAAGGATAAAGGGATCTGCGTACGTCGTTTAATTAACCCAGCGCGTCGTATCATTCTCTCAAATGTTTGTCCTTCAATTCCTAATAGAGTCTTGGAAAACCAGATCAAAGCTTTCGGCTTCACGACGTTATCCCAAATGACGGTCATGAAAGCTGCTATTCTAGATGATGAAGACAAAGAGTACAGTCATGTATTGAGTTCTAGAAGACAGATATATGTCCAACCATCTGACACGGTTGAGTTACCCTCCTCGCTAGTACTTAAATTCGAGAACACCAATTATCGAATTTTCTTTATATACGATGACATTTGCTTTAAATGTAAATTAACTGGACACCACGCGAACGAGTGCCCTAATTTAACTGTTGAAGCTACTCCAAATCCACTCTCCGCCCCAACCCCGGTGGCCTTGACAACGACTGATCTGCACTCTTTTAATGCTCCTGCTAGCAGCAACAAGCGCCCTCCCACTGATGATGTCGATGAAGAAACCTCAGAACCCAACTCTCTTGATCTTTCTCTTGACGGAAAGTCAAAAAAGCTAAAGGCAAGTGATTCCACTGAAAGTTTGACCCCTATGTCTGACCTTTTATTGCCTGCAAGAGAACTAATCACCGAGAAACACGATATTTTTCCCCTTGACTTCAACCAAACGGTCGAGTTTATGGGGAAAGCGCATGGCGAAAAGGATATTTTACCCCTAATATATAAGTACACTGATGACGCAGAAGGTATTGTCAATCAATTGTATGAAATATACACTGTTTTGGATCACAAAAGCATAAAAAACAGATGCATAAAAGTACAGCGGAAAATAAGGAAAGCCATTAACGCGACTAAGACCGGTACTGTAAATCTTAACCGGTTACTAAATGAACCTGTAGATCTCACTTTTTAATAAAGATTTTGCAATGCAACCCAACAACTTTTACGTTTGTAAAATAGTTTATTCTAATGTCGCCTCGCTTATGGCAAAATACAATGATCTCTGTGCCTTAGTCCAACAAGACAAGCCTGACATAATCTTATTAGCCGAAACTTGGTTGACTTCTTCTATACCTGACGGGATGGTTTCATTAAACGGTTATACCCTCTTTCGCAGAGACCGAATAGGCAGTAAAGGAGGGGGTGTTTGTATATACTTAGCTGACGAAGTGCTTTCAACCTTTCATGTCAGCAATATCCCCACAAAGACACCTGGTACTGAGTCACTATTTCTCAAATTATCAAATAAAGACACTACCCTTCTGCTAGGGTGTATCTACAGACCTCCCTCCTCGGTCGTGGACAATGATAAAATTCTAGTAGAATCACTAACCCATTTAGCAGACAGCTATGCAACACTACTTCTTTTCGGTGACTTTAACATGCCAGATATAACTTGGCCTATTGATCCTAGGTGCAGTTACAAACCCTCCTCGCAACTTTTTGTCGACCTTCTGACTCATAGTC